TCAAGGGGCCCCTCCATTCCCAGCCCCTGGCCCTGCTGCTCTCACGGGGCCGTTCCCCTGGCTCCCCTCTCCCGGGTGCCCTGGTGTGCCTGACCCTCTGGGTGAGCAGTCAGGTCGGTGTCCCGGCCCAGCCAGGGCGATGCCCTGCAGTTCCACCCCAGCCACCAGGCAGTTCCTTCCTCACGCCTGCCTTGGGCTCTCCCGTCGGCTCCTGGGCCAGCCCTGTCCACCTGCATCCACCCTCCCTGTCTTTCCTTCACACTCCTGACGGACCATGTCCCCCAGGACTGATTCTGTCCCAAGGTGTGACAGTCAGTTGTCTGTCCTCCAGGTCAGGTCCTTTCTCCATCCCCCTGACATCTGGGCCAAAGCCCGGTGAGGGGTGCAAGTCTGCTGGGGTGGAATGGGGGGCCTGGGGGCACCCCTCCACACACACGGAGGACAGCGGCTCCCGTGGAGCAGAGAGCAACGTCTGGGCCAGAGAAGCTTTTCCGGGCAGTGTCATGTGACTCCTGAGATATGCCTACGAGGAAGCAGCTGGTCCCCAGCCCGGCCCTTGGCTTTTTGGCCGCCCGGCACTGGTCGCAGGAGAGGCTGGGCTCTGTGAAGAGCCCTCCACCTGCCTGTGAGTCCCTGTTCTACCCTCTGCTCCCAGTGCATTATCTGCCATAAATGCCAGAAGCTGGGAGCAAAGTGCAACCCCAGGGGCCCCTGGGCCGGGGTCTGGCTCCCGGCCACGCAGCCGGCCAGAGCCCCTGAAGGACCAGCAGCCCAAGACGTGCTGGGGGAAGAGCTCTCTGCCTGGGTCCTTGCTGCAAACAGCTCAGTGGGCAGAAAGGTGGACGTGCTCAAAGAAAACAACTAGAAACACGGAAACTCTCAGGCGCAGACACACCCAGACACACACACACACCCACACCCACACCCACACCCACACACACACACACACACACACACACACACACACAGCTGGAGAGCCCGGCGGGGCTGGGCCAGGCACAGAGCCTGGCTTGGGTCTTGCGCCAGGCAGCCACACACACGCCCCCTTCCCTGACCCACAGGTCACTGCGGCTGGCCTGGGTCCGTAGCGTGGCCTCCCCCCTCTGCTTCCTCTCAGCCCTGGGAGATCCTGGCCCCGAGTTGCAAAGGCAGTGCTTGGTTCTGCCCCCCAACTATTGACCTGGGGCCCAGCACGCTGGGGTCCCCACCCTGCCCTGCAAAGCCAGGCCTGACTCAGAGCAAATGCCTGGCACAGAGAGCCTGTGGGAGGAGGGCCCTCTGGGAAAGGGCCCCTGCCCCACCCAAAGCCCTCCGGGAGGATGTCCAGTCCGTTCTGCTTCCTGGCAGGGCCAGACCTAGCCTGCGCCCCCCCGTGCAATGGAGCCCTGAGTGGTGACGGCCAGGGGGTTCTGTCACAGGGCTCCTTGGGGTGGCAGTGGGCGGGGCTGGCTTAGTTGTGGCCACAGCAGGGCCTGGGCGGGAGGCGTGGTCTCTGGAGAGAGAGGACCACGATTCCACCCGGTCCCCACTCACCACGCAGGGACCCAGCCTGGACACGAGCAGGGCAGAGCTGGGAGCTGGGCCCCACTGAAGACCAGCGGCCGCGGCACTCACTCCACTCCAGGCACTGCTCTCTGCACCTGAATTAGCTCATCTAACCTTCAGGACACCCGTGAGAGAGGGACTACGACCACTCCCATTTCACAGATGGGAACGGTGTGAGGCACAGAGAGGTTAACAGCTTTCCATGGTCGCACGGTTAGTGAACAAGGGGCCAGGACCGAACTCAGCTGGTCTGTTAGAGCCCGGACTCTTAGTCACGACTTAATAACATGTCTTACCAGAATCACATCATTACGTTCTCAACAAAACCTAAGGGGTAGACCCTGTTATTTCAGATTCATTGACACATGAGGAGACGGAGGTTGGGAGAGTTGAAGTCACTCACCACGAGTCACAGGCTGTGACAGCTGCAGGCTGGGGACAGGGACCTGGGTCAACCTGCCTTGGCGGTCACCCTTTTCTGGGATCAGACTTGCCTCAGCAGAGCCCGACCTGTTACTTTCCAGAAGGGATGTGGCCGGGGACCAAGGGCAATGCACGCGCACCTTGGAGTTCGCCTGTCCCCAGAGAGGAGAAAACATTCAAATGAGATGCAAATGCACCCAAATGGACAAAGGGGCCGACTTTCTCCAACAGCAGGGATGCGGACCTATAGCAGCAGCTGGAGGGGGAGCTCCTGCCTCCTGGAAGGAACGACCAGGGCAGAATGCCACCTGCTACACCCCTGCCTGCCCCAGAGCCTGAGGAGGCCAGCCGCCCCCCAGGTCTCTATATCCACGGGGCAGGAGGCCGAGCCCACTGTCTGTCTGGGGCCCACCTCGCAGCAGGATGGTCAGGGCAGGCCCAGGCTCAGGGCTGCAGGGACTGGAGTGTCCCGCCAAGGAGGGAGCCCGTTAAACATTAGCCCCAGTGGCCCCCCACGAAGTGAGTCAGGCTCCCCGCAGGGCTCCCGGCTGGCCAGGTTTGTTCCAGGTGGGTGACCAAGCTGCTGAAGCCTGGGACAGGCCGCTGGGGCCAGTGCGGACGGCAGCTGCCTCTCCTGACCCCAGCAGGGCTCCCTCCTCAGCAACCCTAAAGCCGGACGGCAGACCCTCCGCTGGAGGTGAGTGATGGGCACTCTATCCCGAGACACACTCCTAAGCGGGTCCCTGAGGCCACAGCTGAGCAGCGCAGCCCCCATCTGCCCGTGGGTCTGGTGCACAGGGCTGTAGCCGGCTTCTGGAGGCCCAGAGAGGGAGACTGAATTGCTCAAGGTCACAGGCCTAACCAGGGGGACAGAACAGGGCCCTGGACTCCCCGTAGGTGGACAGAGCTCTGGTCTCCCGGCCAGAGGCAGTGGGCCAGGGGCCTGAGTGGGTGGCCCACCTCTGGCCCCGGGTCAGCATCCACCTGGCTCCACTGGCTGACACGGGCTGGGTGAGCCCCACCCTTGGCTCTGGGCTCAGGAGAGAAGTATGGCCACACCTAAATGCCAGGGCAGGTTTTCCAACCCGGAAGCCCCGGGGAGGAGTGTGTGTGTGTGTGTGTGTGTGTGTGTGTGTGTGTGTGTGTGTGTGCGCGTATGCACTCGTGGCCATCCATCGGAAGGGGTGAGCCTGGTGTGTGTGCCTGTGTGCCTGTGAGGGTGGTGGCTTGCTTGCCCTTGAGTGCGATGGATGCCCACATGGCCCTTGTTTGAGAATTTTCCAGATGCAATTCTCCTGATTGGATCTCTGTGACCCAACTTTCTACCGCTCCACTGCCCGCTGAGGAAACCGGGCTACTGCAGTGAAGTTTCCATGAAGCTACATGCATTCAGTGAGAAGGGTTCTCCTTTTCTCAAGTATGCATGCCTTAATTCTATTATTTTAACATCAAGATACCCTGTACTTATACGGTGGGAGCTCAGCAAGTGCTAATTGTTGTCTTCTGATTTCTTCAAAAAACAAAATGGTGGGGCTTCCCTGGTGGCGCAGTGGTTGAGAGTCCGCCTGCCGACGCAGGGGACGCGGGTTCGTGCCCCGGTC